GGCACCCTCTCCCAGCCAGCCAGCCCGCAGGTTGCGTTCGTTCTCATTCTCCTGTTTGTGGGGTAATTGGGGCAAGAGGAAAGAGGAGGATAAAAAACCCCCGAGACTTGCGGGAGACCCCTCCGCGTGGCTCCGTTCTTCTCGGCTCATCCCTCCTTCCAGCCCATCTCCTTCCCCACTCCCCCTCTTTCGCCCAGTGCTTGGGGAGGGCAGAGCCGCCTGCTTGCGCGTTTCGCTCCCGCGCTTCTGCAAAAAAAGCCCGCGAGCGACCCCCGCCCACTCGTGGGGGAGAAGGAGCGAGCCCCCAACAAGCCCCCGGCCCTGCCCAGCGCCAAAGTTTGCAGAGCACCCTGCAAACGGCTCCGTCCTTCCCGTCCCCGGAGGGGACACCCCGACGCCAGCGCCCACGCAGCCTGGGGACCGCGTCCCAGGGCAGACAGGACACCCTGCAGCGGGGCGGGAGGTGGGCAGAGGCGGGAGGGTGCAGGGGAAGGATGTGGCGAGGAATCAGCCCTTGCTTTCTCCAAAATGAATCCTTCAGAACATAATCCGTCGCCCCGCGCACCACCTTCCTCCCCCCAGCCCCTTCCTGATGGCGGGCAGGGACCGGCAGCCCCCGAGATGCTTTCCTGTAGCTGTTTAAACTCAGCAGCAGGTTTCTCAGCATCCCCCCATTTCTGCCCGTCCTCGGTGACTTTCCATCCGAGCGACGCAGCCACATTCCCGAGCACGGCGCTTCCAGGCAGCTTCCCTTTACGTCCCCCGGCCCGGTGACAGCCCTGCAGCAGCGGCGGCCCCACGCCATATTTCTGTGTGGGGTGTATTTGTTTTGGGGGCCTGTTGAATGGCAAACGCGAACGGGAAGGGGACTCCTTCCTGTTCTTTCAGAGCCGGTCGCTGTGCCCTGCGCGGCTTCAAGGGAACAGCCAGCAAAGCGGCTGCTTTCACAAATAATGGCTTCATTAGATTGAAAGAAGTGGACAGTGACCTCGCCGAAATGGACTTTCTGACCCCTGCTGACCTCTGGCCCCGGCTCTGACAGCCTGTAAATCTTCCCCCTCACGGCACGGCCGGGGCAAGGGCAGGCGGTGCTGTGCCGGAGCCAGCGCCAGTGGTGCTGCCCACGGTCCGGCATCGCAAGCAGCACGGGGCTGCCTGGCTCTGGCCCCACTGCCAGGTCCTGAGCCCTGCAGGATGAGGCCCCGGGGTATGAAAAACCCAGGCACATGGGTCACAGCTTTGGCAGAGGTGGGGACCGCTGTCCTCAATGCGCTGCAGACCCCATCAGGGGCTGGGTCCAGGGAGCTGAAGGGCCCTGGGAATGGTGTCACCGGGGCTGTGGCTCCAGCACCATCTCCCGGCACAGGCACCATCACCACCTGCCGTCAGGAAGGCAGAGACCCGCTCAAAAGCGGCCTCTGAGTCCCGGTTGGGGAAAGCTGAGCCCGTTCCCCTGCCCATCGCACAGCCGCAGCCCGCCCGGCTGCACACAGACACCCACAAACCGCCCGCAGCGCTCACCTCCGCCTCCCTGCGTGGGCACAGCCCCCTCCCTGCCGCCCCCAGCGCCTCCCTCCCCACCCGCACAACCCGGGGTGCTGCCGACCACCGCACGGCCTCGCCACCCCGTCTGCTGGTGGAGAAACTGAGGCACAACGGGGATCCGTGGGCAGCTGTGCAATGGGAACCCATGCCGGGCTCTCCACGCCGGCTCGGTGCCCTGAGCTCCCCAAGACTGGCACTTGCCCGCCACAGCACAGCCCCGGTGCCGGCAGCGAGCCCCTCACGTCCCAGAGCCACCCACCTCCCTCCTCCCCATCCTTGCATGCTCGCCGCTGACCTTTGGCTACAAAGCAATCAATAACAGAGGCCGCAGTGCCGCTCCTCCCCCTCGCCGGCCCCCTGCACCCCCCACTCACCACGTGCCTCTAACGAGCCCGGCCGGGATCGAGGGATGCTCCTGTACCTCCCAGCGCAGGGGACACGGGGCTGGGGGTGCATTGACCTACCGGAGACACAGGTGTGCTCCCAAGGGCGTCCTAACCAGGCACCTCCTTCCCAACACCCCACAAATTCTCCCCTGGGGCTGCTTTCCAGCTCCGGGGTGTCGGTGGGTGCCCCACACCTCTGGCTTTGGGGCTCTGGGTCCCCACCGTGGGGGTGGAGCGGGGCCGCCCTGCTGCCATCAGAAACGGGGCTCCCCAGGGCATCAGCACATGGCGAGGGAAGGGCAAGGAGCGTGCCCATGGGGTGACCCGCCGGGACGCTGCCCGGTGCCAGGCTTCCCCGCGGCCTCGCTGCCTTTGGGATAGGGCAGGAGGGGGTGAAGGCAGGTAGAGACGGGCCGGGCCGGGAGCGATGGGTCGTGCCCGAATGCAGCAGCTCCTCTCCATATCCCCAGCTCCCTTCGATAAAAGCCTCCGGGCAGCAGCTGATCGATCAGCTGCAGAGCAGGGATTGATCAGGATTTCAGCCCCATACATATTCCTGCTCTCTGATAAAGGGAAATCGATAGCTGAAAGAGATATTCCTCTGAGGCAGCAGCCTCCAGCAGACCGGGGCTCACAAGCCTTCCCTTGCCCCCGAAATCCCCCCACCCCTGTTCAAGCCTTGCTCCCCCCGACAACAAACCCAGGCAGTGGGAGAGAAAATTGTGTTGGGGAGCCGGGCTGGGAGGACCACAGCAGGACAGCGGGGAGAGGAGGCAGAGCCCCTTCTCCCATGGCTGAATCTCACCTCCCAAAGCATCGGCCTGCCCTGCATCTTCTTCCTGCCACCGGTGGCCTGGCAGAGGGGGGGTTTCCCCCTTCTCAGGGTGCTAAAGACACCCCCAGCCAAAGCCCTGGGCAGGGGGAGCCCAGGGAAGCCAGGCAGCGGGCACACCCGCAGCCCATCACCTCCAAACGCCAGCAGCTGTGACCGACACCGCTCACCCTCAGCCCCTTCCCCAGTGCTGAGTCCTGGAAACTCACTGCAGGTGTGGCCGAAGCAGCACCCTCCAGGTGCCTGTCCCATGGCGACGGCGTGGGGGCACCCAGTGGTCACCCGGGGGGAGCTCTGCCTGCAGGCGATACAGCCCTGTGTGCCCAGGGGTGCAAATGGGCACAGGGGCTCAACCCCCCCAAAACACAGCCCGAGGGGGTGGTGTGGGTCCGGGTCAGCCCAGATGGACCCTTCTCATGTCCCTGCTCCTGCCGTGCCTCAGTTTACCTACCTGTAAAATGGGCCTCATGCCCAGGAGCTTTCAGGTGCTTTGAGACCACGCACGGGGAGATGCCCTGTGCCCCTTTCATAGGGACAGTCCCCAGCTCAGCGTCACCCAGGGGAGCCCAGGGGCTGCGGTGGCTCTGTCCCTGCTATGGCAGCTGGCCCGAGAGCCCTGGGGACACAGGCAAAGGCCTTTCCTGGCAAGCGGTGTCCGAGCATCCCCGTCTCCATGTGCTGCTGCAGAGACCCAACACGCTCGGTGCACCTCGGCAAGCCCCCGCTCTCCCCGCCGGGTGCCAGGGCGGCCAGACCTGAAGCCATTTCTTATCAACACCCCGGGTTATTTTAAGCTCTCGGGCCCTTCCAGGAAAACCCAACTCGCACGAAGCAAGAAAGGGCCGGGAAGGGCTGGGGTGTTGCTGAAAAGCACCTGCTGCCAGGGCCGCCCCTGCGCCGAGAACAACCGCAGGCCAAGGGGGGCACGGGGGGGCTGGGGACCCCCTGTCCCAACCCCTGGGCATGGGGAGGCCACCGGCACCCTACGCTGCCAGGAATCCTGGCTGCATCGATGGCCCAGGGACGGGTGCTGCCAGGGTGCCAGCAACATCCCTGTTCGCTGGAGGAGCCGAGGTGGGGGGGTGCGGGGGCGTTGGACAGGTCACACACAGCATGAGCGTGTCAGGCCTCAGCTCCGGCCGTGCGCTGGCGAGCTGCTGCTGCCGGGGACGCTTATCTTGAGCCATCGCGGGCAGGCAGGGAAGGTGTGAAATTTTGGAGGTGAAGATGCTCAGGTGCCGAGCAGCACCGAGTGGGTGCAGTGAGCTCAGGGTGCAGGCAGGGCGGATGGTGGTGCCTGCTGTATTTTTGAAGTGCTGGCAGGGAGGAAGCGGTGACATCTCTTTGCGGTCCCCAAGCACTCGCCGTCCCAGCCTCCCTGTCCCCAGCACCCAGCACCCCTCTTCCTCCTCCCTCCTTCCCTGCTGGCGGGCTGCTAACCAGTGCCTGGGTGCTCGTAACACACCCAAAGACCTGCAAACCTGTCCCCCGGGCACCCTTGGGCCCCCAGCCATGCCCCCAGCACCCTGCCATCCCCTCCTTGGGTACTCCATCATCCCCCCAGCACCCTGTCGTCCCCTCCAGGCTCTGCAGCCCCCGGCTCTCCCCAGGGCACTGGGGTGCTCTGGGGTCCCGGGACGCACATCCCCGTCCCAGCCCTGCCTCGCCCCCTGCCAGCCCCGGCACTATTTTTGTCTCATGGCTTGCTCTCTCTCTCAGCCTCCCTTTATTTTCCCTTCCCCTTCTCGCTGTCACCTTCCCGTTTCCCCCTGCCCCGAGGGAGGGGGGCAGCAGGGCCCCCCTGCAGCCCGCGCCCCCGGTGCTGTGGGGCTCCCTCCAGCCCCGGGGTCTCGCCCCGGGTGCTGCGGCTGAACCCGTCCCTGTCCCCGCAGCCTGCCCCGCACCACGTCCCTCCCTTTGCACACAGTGACTCAAGGCCCGGGCTTGCCCCAGCGTCCCTCCAGTTCCCCCAGTGCCTGGGGAACTGGTTTGCCCCGGGAAGGACCCTCCCCAGCGCTGACTAAATCCTCCCCGGCCAGCCCCGGCGGTGCTGGGGGACGCGGCAGGGAGCTCCTGCTTCCCACAGAGCCGCAGCCAGCTGGCTTGGCTGGTTTGGCACGTACACACGCTTGCACATGCTTGCACACACACGCACACGCTTGCACACACACACTCACACATTGCAGCCTGCCCCGCTCCTCCCAGGACCTTCCCATCGCCGCCCCTCACAGGAGCCCATGGCGCTGGAGGGATGCAGGGGCCAGATCCTGCTCCTGTGCCAGGGCCATGAGGATGGGGCGCGTTCAGCCATCCTTGGGCTCCCTGGGGCCACTGGGGACCCCTCCGTGTCCCCTCTGTCTCTGGGGCTGTTCCCAAGGGGTACACTGGTACCACTGGTACTCACTGGCACCACCGCAGAAGCGGGGCCGTGGCCCTGGGGCAGCCAGGCAGGAGCTGCCGGCGTTCCCCTTCTCGAGGGAAAGGCTGCGGCTGCGGCTGCGGCTGCAGGACCCCATGCAGGAAACTTTCCTCCCGAAGCAAACTGGTGTGAAAGGAGGTTTCTGCCCCAAACCCCTTCCTCTGCCCCTCCCCACCTGGTCACGTTTTGCACATGGTTTCTCAAGCCACCGCGTTCCCCATGAAGGGCACTGGAGGGAGGCCAGAGGCTCCAGTGAAACCCAGCAGAGAAGGAGAAATGAGCTTTTTCTGGTCTTCCCCGGTGGGGCAGTTTTTTGGGAAGTACTGGAGTGGGTGTGGGACTCGTCCCCTCCCCTGTCACAGGAGTCCCCGCCTGGGGCTGCCGTCACAGCTGGGAGCTGCTGTGTGCGCTCGCTGAGCACTTCTTCAAAGTGGTGATCGTGTTAGCCACCAGTAGGTTTCAGAGTTAACACCCTGTTTAAGGGGAGCCATTCATGTGGTCTCAGCTGTCGGCCAGCCCTGCTGAGGCTGCTGCCACTCCTGGCACTTTCTCAGGCTCCCAGTGCAGCCTCGGGTGGCTGAGGTCCCTCTGTCCCTGTGGTGGGTGGCGATGGCACCTCTGCCACCCTGGGCTGGGGCAGGAGAGCCCAGTTGTGTCAGGCTTGGAGCCCTGCTGCATCCCCATCCCGCACGGCTCCCAGTGTCACCAGTGCCCCCAGTGCCAGGCTCAGCCCTCTGTCCCCATCCCCGCATGGGGTGTTTTGGCCAGCGGCAGCGGGGGCAGGCGGGAGGCTGGGGAGGGGACAGTGACCTCCCACTGCTTTCCTGGGGATTTTCTGCTCCTGGGGGACCCGGTCGTGGTGTCACCAGTGCTGGGCCATGCCCTGGTGAGGGAACCAACTCCCCGGCTGTGGGGCTGTGGCTGGTGGAGACAGAAAAAAGCCGGTCCCACCTCCTCCTCTTCCTCCCCGTGAAGAGGCTTCACATCACCTCTCCAAATTTAGCAAAGGTCCCCAAATGCAGAGGTTTCCTGTTCGCTCACTCTCAGCAGCCGCTAAACCGTAACGTGGCGGCAGTCAGGGTCATCGGCGGCTGCGGTGCTGGAGCGGAGCAGGTAGGAGCCAAACTGCCCCGCGCTGTGGGGCCGCGCGCCTGGCAGAGCCCCCCCACAGCGGAGCCTCCCCTGCCGCCCCTTGCAGCTGCCTGCACCCCTGGCCCCACGAATCCGGCAGCGGGGCCACCAGCCCCTTGTCCCCAAGCTCCCCGTCCCCCCCGGGCTCCCCACTGACCCCCCGGCTGCTCCTCTGCCCGCAGCCCCCGATGCCACCAGGGCCACCAGCTGCGGGACCCCCGCGGGGCTGGACATGGCCCCTTCGCCACCGCGGCCGCTCTGCACCGAAGATGTCTCCACCAGCAGCACAGGGGAGGAGGAGATGAGAGCCAAGGCCGAAGAGCTGCAGGGAGCCGTGGAGGGCTGGAGGAAGCCCTTTGGCCAAGCGGAGCTGGTGCTGGTGGGGGCCCGGCCGTCCCCCGCGCTGCTGCCCAGGGAGCTGAGGCTCTGCCTGGGCAGCCTTTGCCCGCTCCTCCTGCCCCGGCCGTGCCTCTGCCTCTGCGGCACCCGCTGCCCCCCGCTCCTGCCGGCCCTGCGGCCCGCGCCACCCCTCGCCCACCTGGGTGACATGGGGACCCTGGCATCACCTTCACAGGGCTGCGGCGGTGCCCTCCTCCAGCTGCCACCCTGCCTGTGGCCATGTGGGACCCTCCTGCCCCCCGAGCAGGGTGCTCCCGGGCTGCCAAAGCCACTGGTGGGATTTCTCCAGCTCCCCCAAGGGCCTTTCCCCTTCCCCAGATGCAGGGCAGGGGGGTGCCCACCGCCGGCGGGGGGGATGCCCCACTCTGCCCCGCAGCCGGAGGGGCCCAGCCACAGCGTGGCCAAGCCCAGGCTGCACCCACAGGAGAAGGACGGTGGCAGGAGCAAGTACGAGTGCAACGTCTGCACCAAGAGCTTCGGGCAGCTCTCCAACCTCAAGGTACCCGGGGTGCCCCGGCGCCCGCTCTCCCCCCCAGCCTGGCAGCACACCCCTCCTGCACCCTTAGGGTCAGCCCGCGCTGGGGACGGGGGGCAGCGGGGGCTTGTCCCAGCTGTGCGGGCCGGGTGTTGCGGGCCTCTCCCCGTGCCTCAGTTTCCCCCCAGCAAAGTGTGCATCGGCATGGAGTGCTCTGAGATGGGCTGCGGATGTACCCCTCTGTGCTCCAGCCATGCCCTGCGCCCTGCCGGGGTTGCGGGATGCTCCAGAAGGGGGGGCTGGGGCTCCCCGGGTGCCCCCCCGTAGCCCCGTGCCCCCCTGGCAGGTCCACCTGAGGGTGCACAGCGGCGAGCGGCCCTTCCAGTGCCCCATCTGCAAGAAGCGCTTCACGCAGCTGGCACACCTGCAGAAGCACCGGCTGGAGGACACTGGTGAGAA